TACACACACACACACGCACACATGAGTCCTGTTCCAAATTCCCAAGAGAAGGGCTCTGATTGGCCAGTCAGGTCAGATAACCAGCCTTAACCCACACAAACATGACGTGGAGCCGGGGTCAAGGCATCCAACAGGGCTGCAAGCCCCACTCCATTCTGCTGGCGAGGGAACAGGGTATCACTGTGATCTGGTAAGATATTACAATGAATCCATTATATCTGTGCCATGAACCACTGGAGATTCCTGCTAAAATGCAGGTCTGGAGTACAGGTGGGGCTGATGTGAGTGTACAGTCCATACTGTTCATAGCCAAAGAGGACATACTCATCCCTCTTCAGTCTCACTGAGTAAGGACCCACCCTCCCCACCCCCAACAACAGAAACCTCTTTGCTAAGTAGCAAAGACAGAAAAGAAGATGACTTCTTGCTGTTGAGATATGATAGGAGTGAGCTGTCAATGACATTTTGATGGGCGTTTTTTTTTTACACAGGGACATTTAACTCAGCCTACAAACCTCATTAAACTTACAGCCAAGTAATTACTTTTGCCAAGTAGTGATCAAAGCAGATCAACTCAGACCCTGACCCCAGCCTAGAGCTTACACCATCGTCTGTCAAGGACCATGATGGGAGAATCCCTGATCAATTAGAAGTAGCGGTTTTACATTTTGGCAATGCAGCACTTGTGGTGCAGTCACACCAGTGGCCTCAGCGGTCCTGTCTCCCAGTCCCTGGGGTGGCCCTCAGCCCCCTCGTCCCCATCCACGCCAGTCCCACCCTGCCCAGTCTGTGGCCTCAGTGACGACCAGTCCAAGCTGCTCCCACTTCAACTGCTCTTCTCAGCTGTGTTCACATGCCCCTCACAGCTCTTCCCCTCTTAACAGCCAGTTGGGAGATGGTCAAACCACCATGGGCTGTGGAGGGTGCCCATTTAGGGCGGCAACACAATCTCAGTGGAGAGGCGACCACCTGACTATGACGGAGCCTGTGAGGCCCCCGGGGGCTGGGGAGGCCCACCCGGCGCCAGGCTCCACGGATGGGGCTGCAGGAACAGTGTGGCCTCAGCGCTTACTACTCAGCATCTCACAGTGTCTCTGTACCCAACCCTTTCATCCAAACACTACATACCTCTCTTCTAGAAAAAGCCACCAATGGCAAGTTTCCCAACACATCCAAAACACCCAGCATTAGGACCCAGAACAAGCCTGAAGTCTTCACAGACTTCAGTCTTTTGTAGGCCTGGCACCAGAGCCAGAAGTTTTCTTGTTAGTAACCACACCCAGGAGTCACCTAGACCTCCATTAAGGAAGCGATTTCTGAGAAGGGAACCATGTACTCCCCCAGAGAAACCCTCTTGGTCAGGACTGGTTCAATCCCAAGTGACAGAAAAACAGCTCTGGGAGAGTACTCATGTGATGAGAAGCACAGACAAGACCACTACCAGGCCCTGTTCTGCTCCAGCTCCCAGTGCTGTCTGCTTGGGGCTCACAGGTGTCTGAGCCAGGCCCCTCTCCAGCCTGTACCCCACTAGTTTAGCAACCTGTGCAAAGAGACCACCTCTCTCCTTAAAACTTCAGGAAAAGACCTCACTGGTCTGGGTTGGGTTATGCACCAAACCGAGAGCCAATCACAGTAGCCAGGGAGATGTGGCACCTTCATTGGCCAACATGAGTCACAAGCCTCTTACTGGGCTGAGGCTGAGGGTGGGAGAACACCACTCCTGAAAGCAAAGCTGAGGGACTGCTCCAGAAGGCAAGCACATTACAATCTGGCTACAGCAACTAGATCTCTGGGGACAATGTGTACGTCCTTATAACCGCAATTATTATACACAGTATTACATAAGCTGCTATCCAACATGCCCGAGGAGTAGCCTGTCATGGATAATCCTATATTTCTGGCTAAATGGTGGGCCCACATAGACACCATCCCCATATTACTCAACATCTTAGTTTGAGTCACTCCAGATGCAGCTACTGGGATGAAGATGTTTGGAAGATCACGAAATATCTCCAGATAGGGAAAGTGAAACAGGGAAGGCAGGCAGCCAATAAAGGGTATGTATCAGGCTAGTTACCATGATGGGGATGTGGAACTCTGCAAGAGAGCGAAACACACCTGAGAGTTATCCCACCAAGGAATGAGGGAGCTGTGGTTTTTAGACGGCAAGTCCTGTCACTCTTGAGAATTCACCTGGAACTGCTAACTCCCTGGCTCTATTGGCTCACGGTGCACAGGTGAGCGCACACTCAGTTACTCAGCCATGTCTGACTGTTTGCAACCCAATGGACTGCAGCCCATCCAGCTCCTCTCTTCTTGGAATTCTCCAGGCAAGAATACTAGAGTGGGTTGCCATTTCCTTCTCCAGGGGAACCTTCCTAACCCAGGCATCAAACCCGCATCGTCTGCACTGGCAGGCAGATTCTTTACCACTGAGCCACCTGGGAAGCCCTTGGCTTACGGTGTCCAGTGACAAAGGAGTCCTCTGAGAAAGAGATGGAGGTGCTGTCTATTGGAAGCAGGGCTCACAAACACAAAAGTGAGACAGGTAACAGAATATGGGCAGGGAACAAACAACGTCCACAATTTCCAAAGGCTGACTAGACTGAATTGCACTGTCTTGGAGGTCTTAAAGTCATATGAGAATGCTTAAATTCCTCCAAGTCTGTAACAGGAGCATCACTTACCACTGTATCAGGCCCTTTACAAGAACATAGTTGGTAGAGATTTTTCATAGATAGAATGTTGAGTAAAGTCACTTTATGAGGTTTAAAAGTTAGAAATTCTCAAAGAATGATACTTTTTTCCTCTTTAATATTATTCTCACTAAGAATTTCAAAACATTTTATAAATAACATGGTCTCTAAACCACCCTGAGAAGGGAAATTGAATTGATTGAGGTTTTTATTTTTAAAATCAATTTTTAAAAAATGATCCAAATTGTTTGCATAACCTTCTGGAGACAATGCAACTGATTGATTTTTGCACTTTTAACCCAACTGTTCTGACTTTTGAATAAGATGCCACCCTATCAGATACAGGATTTAGCCTCTTGAAGACAACCGTGACCAGTCCCCAGAGCTGGGCCCCAAATGTCTTCATCTCAAACAGATAAAAATTGGAGTTTAAAGAAGGCACACTTTGCTCCCAGAAAGTCTAAGCCAAGAGTCTGATCATGACGCATAAGAATCTTCCCAGCTGCAGGTCATTAGCCCACATGCACAAGGTACTTTACCATTTAAAAGGCATGTGACCTGTGAAATGGGAAGGACATGAATTGTGAGTTCCACTCCAGAGACTCATCCACACAAGGGAGTTATCAGGGTTGGTGGAAGAAGTAAAAACCAAATTCAACTCTGAAAGTGAACATGAAAGTCGTTCAGCCTATTCTGACTCTTTGCAACCCTATGGACTATACAGTCCTTGGAATTCTCCAGGCCAGAATACTGGAGTGGGTAGCCTTTCCCTTCTCCAGGGGATCTTCCCAACATAGGGATCGAACTCAAGCCTCCCGCATTGCAGGCAGATTCTTTACCAACTGAGCTAACAGGGAAGCCCAAATTCAACCCTAAGCCCACCCAATCTTGGCATGAAATTCTTTCCAACTATATCACAGGGTCCCAGATGTTTAGTTTCCCAAGCATCAGTAAAATTACTAGATTGAATTATCCAAAATTGCTGTTCTTACTGATCAAATGATGAAATAACAGCGAATTTGCCATTTTTATAGTTCAGAACAGTCAAATATTAGCAATTTCACATGATTCATCTGAATACAAAACAATGTGGGTAACTAACTTTAGTAAGCAATAACATCAGGGGGAAAATCCATTTCAAATAGGGAAGACTATCATAACCGATAATATAGGCAGGTCACTGCCTCACAGTGCGGGGGACATGCTGCTTGTGAAGCGCTCGCTGGGCTGCCCGCACTGTGCTCATCGTCTGGGGAGCCAGGGAGCCACGTCAGTCTGGAGTCTCCAGGGCTGACTTTCTCCATCTGGACAAAGACATGCCAGGGAATCCCATCCTGGGGCCACTGCCACGGAAGCCTTGTACTGCAGGCATGACACTCTGCCCTGACGGCCCCTCCTCCATCACCAGTGACTCAGCACCCCCTCACTGGCCCCAGGAGAGGGACGAAGGTGGCAAGTACAAGGGAACTGCCACCAGGTCCCCGGGCCCTGCGCAGAGAAAACACTGAAGGGACTGCACGAGTGGCGAGAGGCAGGCTCTGCCTGCGCAAGCAGCCCCACTGCACAGTGGGGACCATCAAATTGGGTGCCATACGTGAGCGACCGCAACACACCTCACAGCAGAGAGCTGCGGGCTGAACAGAAGTGACGACTCATAAAACCCACAACTGTTTTGAGACAAATTCCTTTTTATGTAAAAAGAAAAAAAAAGGGAGAAAGAGAAATATGTCTGTTTATTCTTTCCAAGCACTGAGCTCAACATTTAGATGAAACATTTTTATGAACGGGCCCCACAGATCATCATCTCTGCTGCATTAGTTCTAATTGCATTATTGCTTAACTGCAAAGCAACAGAGAGTGTAATTCGGGAGCTGCAATGCCTGGGGACGTGGGCATGATTTAACTGTTCATGCGAAGCCCAGCCATGGGGACACTGTCCTGAGGACAGCAGCGAGAGGCCAGCATCTCTTTCCCGCTGTCTCATTGGACAGTTCAGCTCCCTCCATCAGGGAGATGACAGAGAACAAAGATCCCTTGGGCCGTGCCTCGTGCTACCCTTGCAGCAGAACCTCATGAAGGGATGTAAGGTTTAAGAACAGAGTGTCCACTGTGTACCTGCTGCTGGGCTGTATGAGCATCAGCGATGCACAGATGAATGTAGCTTAACTCCTGTCTGCAGGAGAGCCAGTCCAGTGAAGGAAGAGAGACATGTCACCAGAGCCATTCAGGGATGGAGACAAGCTGAGGAGGTTTCTTCACAAAGAGAAGCCTCCTCCTGAGTGTCCAAAAGAAAAAACTGGATAATTAAGGTGCTGTGAGATTGAGTAAGTGTTCACTAGTTCTTGCTTCTCTTGGGAGCAATTGATTTGTTAAAAATATGCTGCTGAAGATGCTAGCAACGGGGTGGAAGGAAGCAGGGTTGAGGGGGGAGAAGGCAAACAGAATGTGACTGATGCGGCTGCAGCTGAAAGTCCCAAGCCTGATCCATGGAAAGTATAAATTACATCTTGGAGTCTGACCTACCTCAAGGCAAAGATACTGGTCCTTTCCTCTCCCACAGCAGTCAGTCATGTTTACATAATATTCTCTACATTCACGGGGAGAGGCTCTGGTACCCAAGAGCAGCCCACAAAAGGTTGTGGGTTCTATCTGTAAGCAGAAAGCAAACAGATACTCAGAGATAGGCGCATGAAGTTGATGAAAGTGACCCCGGGGGATTAAGGTGCCAACACCGGCTCTGTAACATGAAGTGACGCCACCCTGACCATGAGATGTGGCTGAAAGGTTTGGCAAGTCCAGCCTGGTCATAAAACCCCAGGCACAGTCAGCCAGTGACCTGCTCCCTTTCCAGTCTCTGCAAGTCCTCCAAATATGTTCATTCTTTTAAAATGCATTCTAGGTATTTTAGGACTTCTGTAATTCCATACAAATTCTAAAACTAGCATGTCAGTTTCTTAAAAGAAAAAAGTTTCTGGAATCTTGACTGAAGTTTTGACTATGCTGAATCTATAGGATCAAGTTGAAGAGGATCAACATCTTAACGAGGGCTTCCCCGGCGGTCCAGTACCTAACACTCTGTCTGCCAAGGCAGGGGACATGGGTGTGATCGCTGCTCCAGGTAGATCCCACACGCAAGTGACGGGCCACAACTACCAGGCCAGCCCTCTATAGCCCTTGAGCCACAACTCCTGAGCCCACGCAAGGCAGCCGCTGAAGTCCGTGTGCCTAGGGCCCACGCTCCGCGGAGGGGCCACCGCAGTGAGAAGCCCACGTTCACCACTAGAGAGCAGCCCCTGCTCACCGCAGCTGGAGAGAGGCCGCAGGCAGCAGCAAGACCCAGCACAGCCAAAAATAAACCAAGCAACCTTAAAAAAAAAATTTAACCATACTGAGTCTTCTGATCCATGAACATATTGCTCTCCTCATTTATGTGGGTCTCTTAATTTCTCTCAGCAGTGTTTTGTAGGTTTTGGTTTACAGGATTTGTGCTTTTTTCCCCCAAACTTATCTCTAGACGTTTCAAAATTTTAATGCTAATGCCAATTATACTATTTTAAATTATGGTTATTGCTAGTATATAGAAATACAATGTACTTGTTAGAAGTGAATAAAAATGAGTAAAAGTGGGTAGAAATAATAAGAATAGATATCCTTGCCTTGTTAATGATCTTACAGGGAAAGCACTTTGTCTTTATGTTAGCAGAAGCATTTTCATAGAAACCCATTATCAGGTTGAGAAAATGACATCTATGACTGGAGATTTTTTAATCATGTATGGATGTTTCATTTTATCAAATTATTTTTATATCTATTGAGATGATCATGTGACTTTCATTTTTAGGCTATTAAAGGACAGTCACATTGGTTTATTTTCAAATGTTAGATTGCTTTGCAATCCTTAGATAAGCTCCACTTGGTCATGATGTATTCTTTATATTTTGCTAAATATAAAGGATCCATTTGCTAAAATTTTATTAAGAATTTTTGAATCTATGTTCATGAGAAATCATAATTTGCAGTCCCCTTGTATTGTCTTTTTCTGGGTTTGAAATTAAAGAATAGACTGAATTGGGAAGTGTCCCCTCATCTTAATTTTCTAGAAGAGTTTGGACATAATTGGTATTATTTCTTCCTTAAATGATTGGTACTAATAGAATACCCCACTAAAGCCATCAGGGACAGAGATTTATTTTGTGGGGAGGTTTTTAACTGTAAGCTTATTTAATAGATACTAGGCTCTTCAGGTCACCCACTTTTTTTTCTTGAGTGAGCTTTGGTAATTTGTATCTTTCAAGAAATGTGTTCATTCCACCTATGTTGTGGGATACAGAGTCTTTTTCCACTCTGGCCACTGGGGACACAGGCCTATATCGATTCCAAGACTGTTCCACCTGATTCTTCTGGTGGTTCTTCCAGTGGCCTCAAGTACCTTCCTCACACTGACATGCTGCTCAAGACTTGACTAGAACCTGCAGACTCCCAGGGCCCTCTGTCGTGCTCTCTCCATCTCTCTTCTGGTATTCCTCTGCCTCTAAGCTGTAGCTGCTTTACCTCCCTCAATCTTCCACTCAGTCTTTCAATTCAAGGAAACCGCTGGGCTCTGTGTGGACCCCTCTCCCTGGACTTGCTCCTGGCAGGAAGCACAGGCGTTCCAGCCTCGTCTCACTGGTCTTCCTTCTCTCCTAGATCACTGCCCTGTGCTGCTTTTCATTCAATGGCTGACGGCAGTTACTACATGTATTTTCTTTTTTTTGTTTGTGATAAATCCAGTCCTTTTTCTCTGTCATGGGCAGAGGCAGAAGTCCATTTTGGCCACTTTGAAATTGAGGTTTCCTGTAGAATATCCAACTGCAGATATCTACCCAACAGTTGTAAGTGACAGGAGAGACTGTGACCAAAGTAAATATCCAGGAGCAAGTGCACAGAGCTAGTAACTAAAACCAAGAGTGCCATGGGAGAGAGTCCATAGTGGAGGAAGAACTGCATCTTAAAGGCAAAACCCACAGAGACGGGAACAAAAAGGAGACCATGAGGTAGAGAAGTGTAAGCAGGAGAGAAGTAGAAGAAAACTCATCTGAGAATGAGGTGGTGGAACACAGGGCTTGGAGAGTTTCACAAGGGGCTCCAAGTGTCCAGTGCCCCAGAGACCCATAAACAGGCAGACACAAAGCCACTCGTGCCTTGACTGTGCTGTGCTTCTGTGTATGTGTCTTGTGTGTGTGTGCCTTGACTGTGCCTTGACTGTGCTGTGCTGTGGTTTTGTGTACGCTGGTTCCACCAGTTCCAATATGGCAAACTGGTTCCCTTTATCAGAGAAGACTGAGATGGGCGTGAGTGAATCAGATGAGAGGAAGTGGTATAGCTGACAAGGGAAAGAGATTAGTAGCTAGAGCATGGCACAACCAAGGCTGAGGAGAGGCCTTGGTCCTGCCATCTGTGCACAGGAGGAAAAGGGAATCAACAGGTACAGCCAGAGTGATGGAAGAAAAGAGAACTGCTGGATGAAGATCCCAGAAGATGGGAAGGATAAAGGAGGGAAGGACAGGTACCAAAGCAATGAAGGCTGAAGACTAGAGGAAAACAAATCTGCCAAGGACCACTCTCCCTATTTACCAAGAGAGACTGTGAGACACAGATAGGTCACATGCTAGGCTATGACAGCTTGACTATAAACCTCAGGCTTGTTTCTACTGGCCTAAGCCTGCAATTCTGAGACCTCTCCCCATGGCTGGTGGCAGGAAGTCCCATATATGCATAGTGGCAGTAGGCCCAGTTTAGGACTCCCTTGGACCACTCAAATGATGTGATATACACAAGACACTAAGGAAATCCATCCTCCACAGCACCTGTACCTGAAGCATCAGGTTCCACGTAGGAGAAGTGGACCCACCTGATTTTTAGAAAGTAGAAGTGTATCACGTTGACCAAATATGGCAATCCAAACTGGTTCAAGCCAAGACAGAATACAGAGGGCTGGATCTGGCCACAGCTGGCTCCAGAGCACAGAAGGAACAAGGCCCAGCCTCCTCCTGCTGTCTCTCAGGTCTGCCTGATGCACAGGTGGCCATATGTGACCGTGAGCTGAAGGCAGCAGGTCCATCAGCTCAACAAAAGTGCCAGAACTCAGTCCCTGGTTTCACTGGCCTGGCCTGGATCATATGTTCATTGGGACCAATCACCAGGGCCAGAGGGACTGGTTGGGTGAGCCCAGGGTGGACTCACCTTCACTGGATGCACATGGGCTAAGAGCAAAGAGCAGGTAAGTGATTCCCAGGAGGAAGGCACAGGCTAGGAGACGTTAAACAACTAGCGCCTCCTACAATTAGAAATCTGACACCACTCCGAGGCGTCAGCTGGGGGTGGGGGGCACTACTCCAGGAATGGAAAGCAAAGACATAAGAAGCCATGGCCTACACCTGCATCTGTGATGGAACGCAGCCCTCGCAGAATACGTGTAAGAAGCCACAACACTGGACAACGACAATGCCATTCTGGAAACACTGTTTTTCAGAGTATGCATCATGGGTGCTCAGAAAACAGCTTCGCCTTGACCTTCGAGCCCACTGCTCCTTTTACTCCCCTTCAAATGAATCCATAATTCCATCTTGAGAATTCAATTAGAACTAATTCCTTTATTAAATAAGCTTCATTTGGGAGCTAACTGCCACAGACCTCAGGAGAAAATGCATCTTGCTTTTGCAGAGATCAACATAGTTCAGCAATGCCCAAGCTCCTCTTTCAGAGAGGTGAACCTCAGCTTAGAGGAAGGGCTGAGGAGGCTTCCACACTGAAGATGACATGGAGAAGACGTAGTAATCACATGGGAGCCAGTCCAGGAGCATACCAAGTGCATGGCCACCAGCTGCTTCCCTGTGCCCTGCCAGGAGAGCGCTGCGAAGCAGAGGCATCCGGGTTCCCAAGCAGGCACCAGCAACACCTCCAAGGCAGACCTGAGGAACCTGAGGATGAGGTTCCAAAAGTAGTCCCTGCAGAGGCCAAGAGTCTGATCAGGAATAAAAGTAGACGGGGGTGGGGGCGTGGTGTGCGTACTCAGTCGTGTCTGACTCTGCAACCCCATGGGCTGCAGCCCACCAGGCTCCTCTGTCCATGGGATTTTCCAGGCAAAAATACTGGAGTGGGTTGCCATTTCCTTCTCCAGGGATCTTCCTTGACCCAGGGATAGAAACCAGGTCTCCTGAATCTCCTGCATTGGCAGGTGGATTCTTTACCACTAGCACCACCTGGGAATCCCCAGACAGGGATGAACCAAACACTTAAAAAGGTTCAAATGGTAAGATGTATTTTATGCATTGTTGTTGTTCAGTTGCTCAGTCGTGTACAGCTCCTTGCAACACCATGGAGTGCAGCATGCTAGGCTTCCCTGTCCTTCACTAACTTCCTGAGTTTGCTCAAACTCATGTCCATTGAGTCAGTGATGGTATACAACCATCTCATCCTCTGTCACCCCTTTCTCCTCTTGCCCTCAATCTTTCCCAGCATCAGGGTCTTTTTCAATAAGTTGGCTCTTCCCATGGGTGGCCAAAGTACTGGAGCTTCAGCTTCAGCATCAGTCCTTCCAATGAACATTCAGGGTTGATTTCCTTTAGGATTGATTGGTTTGATCTCCTTGTTGTCCAAGGGACTCTCAAGAGTCTTCTCCAATGACACAGTTTGAAAGGATGAATTCTTTGGCGTTCAGCCTTCTTTATGGTCCAACTCGCACATCCATACACAGCTACTGGAAAAACCATAGCTCTGACTACATGGACCTTTGTCAGGAAAGTGATGTTTCTGCTTTTTAATACACTGTCTAGATTTGTCATAGGTTTTCTTCCAAGGAGCAAGTGTCTTAATTTTGTGGCTGCAGTCACTGTCTGCAGTGATTTTGGAGCCCAAGAAAATGAAATCTGACAGTTTTCACTTTTTCCCCATTTATTTGCCATGAAGGGATGGAACTGGAATGCCATAATCTTCTCTTTTTGAATGTTGAGTTTTAAGCTGCCTTTTTCACTCTTTTTCATCCTCATCAAGAGGCTCTTTAGTTCCTTTTCAGTTTCTGCCATTAAAGTGGTGTCATCTGCATATCTGAGGTTACTGATATTTCTCCTGGCAGTCTTGATTCCAGCTTGTGAGTCATCCAGCCCAGCATTCCTCATGATGTCCTCTGCATGTAAGCAAGCAGGGTGACAATACACAGCCTTGATGTGCTCCTTTTTCAATTCTGAACCTGCCCATTGTTCCATGCCCAATTCTAACTGTTGCTTCTTATACTGCACACAGGTTTCTCAGGAGGCAGATAAGGTGGTCTGGTATCCCCATCTCTTTAAGAATATTCCACAGTTTGTTGTGATACACACAGTCAAAGGCTTTAGTGCAGTCCAAGCAGCAGAAGTCGATGTTTTTTGCAATTCCCTTGCTTTTTCTATGATTCAGCAGATCTCTGGTTCCTCTGCCTTTTCTAAATCCAGCTTAAACATTTGGAAGTTCTCAGTTCATGTACTGCTGAAACCAAGCTTGAGGGATTTTCAGCATAATCTTACTAATATTTGAAATGAGAGCAATTGTATGGTAATGTGAACTTTCTTTGGGGTTGGAATGTAAACTCAGCAGGCCTACAGCCATTGCTGAGTTTTCCAAATTTGCTGGCATATTGAGTTCAGCACTTTAACAGCATCATCTTTTAGGATTTGAAATAGCTTAGCTGGAATTCCATCACCTCCACTAGCTTTGTTCGCAGCAATGCTCCCTAAGGCCCACTTGATTTCACACTCCAGGATGTCTGGCTCTAAGTGAGAGACCACACCATTGTGGTTATCTGGGTCATTAAGAGCTTTTCTGTACAGTTCTTCTGTGTATTCTTGCCACTTCTTCTTAATCTCTTCTGCTCCTGCTAGCTCCTTGCTGTTTTTGTTCTTTATTGTGCCTATGTTTGCATGAAATGTTCCCTTGGTATCTCTAATTTTCTTAAAGAAATATGTTATGCATATTTTATCTTTAAAATTAAAAGAAATAAAAGAAAAAGTAGACAGGGAAATTGAGGGCTCTGTTCTCCAGTCCCAGTCCCTCTGCTAGCAGTCCCTCTGTCGGCCCTGTGGTAGCCAGCCTCCCAAACTGTCGCCAGGGATCTCTGTTTCCTGGTGTTGAGTAGTACTGGCTTGTGCAATCAGAACATTGCAGAAATGATGATGTCTTTGGAGGGCAGGTCATAAAAGATACTTCAGCCTCTGATGTGCAGCTCTCTTGGATCATTCACTCTGGGAGAAGTCAGCTGCCATTTTGTGAAAAGACACAAACAGTGAGTAGAAAGGCACACTTGGCAAGGAACCAGGATCCCCCACCCACATCCATGTGAGCAGATCCTCCTGGGATCTGTTCCCCTGGGAGCAGATCCTCCAACCCGAGCCAAGCCTTCAGATGATCAAAGCCCTGGCTGACATCTGGACTCGAAGATGAAAAACCATGAGCTAGAACTCCTCAATTAAGCCACCGCCAAATTCCTAACCCACAGAAACCAAGGTCATAAATGTTCTTTTAAGCCACTAATCTTAGGTACTTTGTTACCCAACATTAAGTAATATACCCCAGCTGTAGGCACACAAGTCTTGTCTCCTAGCTACCCATCTCATGTTTGCAGGGCTTGCTCTCCCTCAGTGCCACGACCCCTCCCTGTCAGATGAATGCTTCCAGAGGGCGTGGACCCAGGATGTCATCAATGCCCTCTGCCCCTCTATGTCCCCAGTTTCCCTGTGTGCTGTTAATGCCCAATAAACATGTACTAGATTAACTTAAATTTCTTTCTGTAGGGGAGAAACCTTGTGAGCAGAGTGTTTCCCTATCCTAGCAATCCCCTCCCATAACTCAAAATGAGACATGAATCCACAAGTCAATGCAATCAACTTCAAGAAAATGTCCAGCAGGCAACCTTGATACCCCAGGAAGTGCCCCCAGTGCAGCACAGATCAGCAGCATGTGTCTACCCAACCATCCTGCCGAGTCTCAGGCTTCAAATGGTCCATCAACAAGGACTTAACCCACCACCACCTACCACTCCACCAAGGGGTCAACGCAGAGCCCTGGGGAAAGACGTCAGGAGTTCCTCATGGGCCTCTCACATTTCTGCACACCTGGTGAGCAGAGGCACTGTCGGCGTTTGCTCTGGACTTTGTTTCAAGGATGTTCATATAGTGAACAGCCTTGGAAGGCAGAGACAGACTTGCTCTCTGACTGCTCGTTGTAAAATTCAGGCACCCTGATGGCTCCTCTCCTGTAACACAGCCGGCTACAAGGACAGGTGTCCCCAGCCCTGCGCACTGAACCTGTCCAAGAAAATGCTCATTCTCTGGACACGAGACTGCTATGAGAACAAAGTCCTTCCACGGAGCCAGGACGCCTGCGTCTCATGCCAGCAACCATAATGCTACAGCAGGCTCACCAGTTAACTTGCAAGCAGGGTACAATCTCAGACTTGTTACAACTCCTGATAAGAGATCTGGAATTCCAGGTTTTACCCAGCTGGTTCTTGAGCTGAAAATTACATATGTCTTCGGCCATAAAAGAGTCTCGCTAAGAGCACAGGAAGGCGCTTTGATAAATGGTCATTGATTGATTGGGTTGTTGTTGTTTTTTCCAAGATATACAGAAATGTCAAGAAAATAGTTGAATTCCTTGGATCTTTTTTCTTAGCAGGGTCTAGTAACAGTCTACAGGGCAGAGCGGGGAGGAAACTTGGTATGCCCAACCAGAAGTAAGAAAAGTGCCTGTGACTGTGAGCCCACAGAAGTCCCCAGTACACATACCTAGAGGGGTTAACCAAACTCACCCAGCCCCCAAAATAAACAGCCTACTGACCAAATCACCGTGTTCCTCTGCAGACACGGTAGTCCGAACCTCCCTGGGCTGCCATACAGAATACCTTAGACTGGGGGGCTCAACAGAAATCTTCTCACAGTTCTGGAGGCTAGAAGTCTGGTGAGGACTCTCTTCCTGGTGTGGAGATAGCAGCCTTGTGTGTCCTCAAGTGGTGGCAAGAGAGGAAGCCAGCTCTCTGGGGTCTTTCCTCATAAGGGCACTAACCCCAGGGAATTAGGGCTTTGACAGAGGAATGGGGGCGAGGGGTGGGGAATTCAGTCCACAGCAGGCAACCCGAGGTCCTGGCCCCCAAGAGCACACACTCTCAATACTGATTCAATCTATAGCACTTATGGACCCCTCAAGCCCAGGGAACCTTGAACACCACCTGTCAGTGGGTGGGGAACAGCAGCATAATGTACATTAGGTGACTGGTGATTCCATTTATAAGATCTCAAGGGAGCAGGAACAGTCCTCACTCCTTCTCTCAACACTTTCGTGTACGCTGATGGTCAGATCAGTCAATCATCTGAAGACATTCCCAACTTTTTGGTCTCACTAAAAAAAAAAAACAAAAAACTCATTATTCGTCACAAAGAGTCAGAGACTGAGTGACTGAACTGGACTGAACTGAAGTAGTTGCAAGGAGGACAGATGAAGACGCCCAATCCCCAAGAGTCATAAGACAGTGCGCCATTATAATGCAACATCAGGCAAAAGCAGGAAAGAGGGGAGATGTCATGGGAAAGGAGCTTACTCAGTTAAGTGTCTGAGAAACCTCAATAAAAAACCAGGGCCTAGAAAAGCTACCAGAGCAAAGGCCAGGTTGGACTAGACTCTCCCAGTCAACTGGGCCGCTGTCTAGAGTGCCCCTCGGTCACAGGGCAGCTCAGTCACTCCACAGCAGGGGCTGACTTGGGATTCCCAGATCCCAGAGCCAGGGCCTCCTCACGCACTTCCCAGCCAGCTGTCCACAAACGCTGGACCTCCCCCCACACCATAACAAGCACTGCTTACCACAGTGAAAGTAACACAGGCCCATCTCCAAGACCAAACACACACAAAGAACGACATTAAAAAGGGGAATACATCAACACTCAAAACTAAAACCCTAGAAGCCTTGACACAGTTATCTTTCAAAGGAAAATTTTCTCACAATAGTGACAAAATCCGGGCTGAGAAGAGAAATGCGTGCTGGAGGGGAAGAGGAGGCTGGACACCATTCAAGGGTGTGGCCGTCCAGGGCCCACCCGGTGGCACATTGAACAGGTTTGCCCCGTCCAGTTAGCACCTGCTGCAGGTACTGATGGACAGAAAATCAACACCCTTGATCTTCAACCAAGAATATGGTCAACAAGGCATATTTTTTCTGATCAATGCTGCTGATCAATTACGTAATAAAAGAGGGGAAAGAGAAAAGGGAAAGAGGAGTTCACTCTTGGCATCAGAAGAATTTATGTGCCTCTCATGCAGCACGTACAAACCTCAGGACTGTTCTCTGCTCAGGATTCTGCCTTAATAACAGATGAGAAATGTGTGGTCTGTGTTTCAAGGAAATCATGTGTGTCTCCAGGAGGGAGAAGAAGCCAGCACCTCCTGGAGCAACCAGCCTCAGGGTGAACAGAACTCATGCCTGACACTGCTGGGTAAAGCTGAGTGGCCCTCTGGACAGGCAGTGCCCACACCTGTCCTAACCAGAGCCTCTGATGAGGGGAGGCCAAAGGGAATCATAAAGAAGAAAAACAACTCCTCCCCAGTTACGTTCAACTGATGGAAGTCAAGCTCTCAGGACTCTCCACGTCAGATGATATTGCAGGTCCAGATTTTCACTGTGAAAACAAATTGGGAAATCAACCAAGTGTGGGGTCAGTCCCAAATCTCCCCACTTTTTAACTCCTCTCTTTGCTGTCACCTCCCACCCCATCCTGACTCCTCAATCAAGGCTCAGCTGCCCAGAGGAGCTCGCCTTGTCACAGGGCAGGATTAGCCTCAATAGGGATATTTGCATTTCAAAATAAAACTCCGGAGGAAGCAAAGCTTGGCCTAAACAATGAATCTCCATTGTTGGAATTCCAGGCACCCTGGTTCCCTAAGTGTCCAGAACTTGCTTGTTATCACACTACTGGGGGTGGAAGGGTGGTATTTTATGGCCCTTGGAATCACACTGCTTCGGAAGCCATGTCTTCTGCCTAAGAAAGAGGCAGCCCCTCTCTGAGCCTCTCAACTGATTTCAGACTTTCAGTCACTCGTGCCTTCTTTCAAAAGTGCTCTCTGCTCTGCTGCATCCCAGCACTGTGAACGCACAGACCCTGACACGCCTGTCGGCCTCTCCTCCTGAGCACGGGCTGTCCAGTGAGAAGGAGGGAAAACTGCAGTCACGTGGTTCCTAACCCAGATGTATTGAATAGTCAATCTCTAACGTAAAAAATAAAGCTTAATTGGTAGTAATTTTGCTAAGCAACTTCAGTTCCCTTTGTCTCAATTTCTACCTCTATAAATACAGAGAAAGACACTTTTTACATGAAATTCATAAGCTCATGTCTATGTCACTGTCCAATATCATATACCCTCCACAGGTATGACTGTCTCTTTCCATGGTAATAAGATCACTGGCAGAAAATCATTTCATAGTAAAAGGAAGATGGGACACCTCCCAAAGCAAACCCGAGAGGAGTGGCACTCCACCCCTCTCCTCCCTCTAAGCAGCCCAGTCTGTTCCAGGCCACAGTCTACCACAGACTCCGCCAGCAGAACCACTCCTCGCTGCCTCTGCTTCCACCTTGTCGATGCGCCGTCCCTTTCTGGGTATCGACAGTCGTGCCACGTTGCAGTCTCGTAACTTCTCTTTCCGTTTAACCTCTGTGTAAACCACTTGACAGTAACTGTCCATTCTGGCAGAGAAGGTCTTGATCAAAATCGTCTGTTTACAGAGAATTAATCCCAGCTCCTGGATGTCAGTGCTGTGATTCTTTGAAGAGGCCAGGAAGCTGGAGTTTTAACAGCCTTGGAGGAAAACAACCCAAGACTCTGAGAAGAAGCTGCAAGCCACTGATTCAGTCACTGCATTCGGCTGCCATCTAGTGACAGACAAGGATATCTGCTGCAGACCATGGGTAGTTTTCACCTCCAACATTCTAAGTTGAGGGAGACGGGGAGAAAACCTCTAAATAATAAATGCCAATATAACCTGCAATAGTTCAAATGGCCAAATTAATATTCAAGCTATTCTTCTCCAGGCATCAAGATACATCATCATTTAAGAAAACAGATTTCATAGCAGACTCAACCTTCGTCAAAAATCTGGTGGCTTCCCTGGTGGCTCAGATGGTAAAGCGTCCACCTGCAGTGCAGCGGATTGAACCTGGGTTCAATCCCTGGGTTGCGAAGATCCCCTGGAGAAGGGAAAGGCTACCCACTCTAGTATTCTGGCCTCAAGAATTCCATGGACTATACAGTCCATGGGGTTGCAAAGAGTCGGACAAGACTGAGCAACTAAGCGCACACGCACACACACACCCCCAGTATCTGTACTTACAGGGTTTCCAAGGCGGCTCAGTGATTTAAAAAAAAAAAAAAAAAGAAGAACCCTCCTGCTAACACAGGAGGCACAGGTTCAATGCTTGGATCAGGAAGTTCCCTGGAGAAGAAAATGGCAACCCACGCCAGTGTTCTTGCCTCAGAAGTCCCAAGGACAGAGGAGCCTGGTGGGCTACGGTCCATGGGGTCACAAATACACGACTTAGCATTCATCACAGAGACACAGGTACAAGATATTTGCTATAACATTTTAAAAGAAGATTGCAAAAACCTAGTTTTCATCAGTAGAATCAAATAAAGTAACATTGATCCAAATAACAAGCTGCAGATCTCTTTCATCACTGGTGCGGAACTTAACAGCTTTTTTCTCAAGTATTTTTGCATAAGATAAACCTTATTTCTTTCACCTTTCAGGGTTCCAAAGCATTTTTCAACAACCTTTAGTTATAACACATCAAAGGAAAATTTTTATGTAAAATGAAGTCATTATTCTTGAGTTCTGAGACTGCTTCCTGGTTTTGTTGTTCAATCGCTCAGTCGTGTCCAACTCTTTTGGACCCCATGGACTGCAGCATGTCAGGCTTCCCTGTCCTTCACTATGTCCCGGAGATAGTTTCCTGATATAAACTGGCTCAAAGCAGCTAATTATTAGATCTTTGACTATCAACCATTAATTACATAATTATTTTTTCTCTGATTTTCTCATTTGTGTACATCATTGTTGTTGCTGATCAGTTGCTCAGTTGTGTCTGACTCTTTGCAACCACATGGACTGTAGCCTACTAGGTTCCTCTGTCCCTGGGATTTCCCAGGCAAGAACACTGGAGTGGGTTGTCATTTCCTCCTCCAGAGGATTTTCCTGACCCAGGGATTGAACCTGTGTCTCTTACATCTCCTGCACTGGCACACAGGTTCTTTACCACTAGCACCACCTGGAATGCAAAAGTGAGTCTAAACAAACTTCCCTTGGTGAAAAAAAAACACCTGAAGAAAATTTTATCCCTAGGGCAAGGGCAGCCAGAATAGATCTTCTGCTATCACCGCAGAACTTGATGGAGGAAGAAAAGCCAGCTGGCCTCTGAGAGCTGTCCCAGGGCTGAGGCTGTGACTGCACATAACTGATCTGCCGGTTCCCAGCAGCAGTGAGCCTGAGGGGCGGGAGGATCTGTCCAGCATCCAGCTAACTCAAACAGCTACCAGGTCCCAACCCCGCCCATCTGAGCTGCCTGAGCACCCTGGCAGAGGAAAGGACCTTGAATATTCATTGGGAGGACTGAGGCTGAAGCTGAAGCTCCAATACTTTGACCACCTGATGCGAGGAGCCAAATCACTGGAAAAGACCTTGACGTTGGCAAAGACTGAGGACAAGAGGAGAAGGGGGCGGCAGAGGATGAGACAGTTAGATGGCACCATCGACTCAATGGACGTTAATCTGAGCAAACTCTGGGAGATGGTGAAGGACAGGGAAGCCTGGAGTGCTGCAGTCCATGGGGTTGCAAAGAGTCAGACATGCCTGAGTCAGTGAACAACAACAAACTGATTTCTCTGGCCATATCTTACAGTTCTGTGCAAAGTGCTAGGCTTGGAATCTACGCTAGCTGGAGCACTCTCTTTGGCTGGGTCTTATCCTTTGGCTGGCTACTTTCCTAAGCAGGATGGAAGACACTTGGGCAGAATCACAAAGTCACAGGACAGGACAGGACCCACATCCGGTTTATCGCTGGTCTTCTGATGGCTTTCCAGGTCTGAAGACCAGCTCTCTTAGTTTATCAAAACCATCAGGCTTCCTAAAAACTGCCCCCAACCCTCCCCACTAACTCACAGTTTCGCCCGGTGTTGATCTTCTCACAGAGAGCTCTATGAAGGAGCTTTTCAAAGATGCTGAACATCATGTTCCAGACATGCTGTGCCTTGTAAGAGGTCATCAACAGGTTGACCAGGTCTTCTTTGGTTGTCCTTAGATCGAAAGTTGGGATCTCTGGCAGTCCAAGCTCCACATGTTTTTGTCCAAGGTGGATCTTCCGTCTCATAAATTCCTTTTTATTAAGCTTTTCTAGATACCACAGCAGGTGGTCTGATTCTGCCATCTTGCCTGTCCAGCAGGATCAGACTTAGAAAGACTCTCCAGGACCAAGGAATTGTGGAATCTAGAAAATAAAGATGGAATCGGAGCACTGCAGCATTATTTACAACAGCCAAGACATGGTAGCAACATAGATGTCCATTGACAGATGAATAGATAAATAAATTGTGGTACATATATACGATGGAATATCACTCAGCCATAAAAAGAAACACATTTGAGTCAGTTCTGGTGACATGGATGAACCTAGAGCCTGTTATACAGAGCAAAGTAAGTCAGAAAGAGAAAAACAAATACCATGTATTAACACATATATATGGGATCTAGAAAAAATGGTACTGCTGGACCTATTTGCAGGGCAGGAAGCGAGACACAGACACAGAGAACAAACTTGTGGACGGAGGGGAGGAGGAGAGGGTGGGACGAACTGAGAGAGCAGCACTGAAACATATACACTACTCACTCTATGTAAAACAGACAGCTGGTGGAAAGTTGCTGTCTAACACAGGTGGAGCTCAACCCAATGCCCTATGATGACCTAAAGGGGTGGGATCAGCAGGGCGGGTGGGAGGGAGGTTCAAGAGGGAGGAGACATGTGAATACCTATGGCTGATTCATGTTGACGTTTGGCAGAAACCAACACAACATTGTAAAGCAATTATCCTCCAATTTTAAAAAAATTCAGTTGATTTTTAAAAAGGCAAAAAGAAGGTAAAAAAATCAAGGCCAAAAAAAAAAAAAATATGGAATCAGAGAATCCAACTACACAGCAGCATCAATTCATTTGAAGTTGACATAGTAGAAAACTTCTGTGGTCTGAGATGAGCTTCTTAGATAGTTCATCAATAACAAGTCTGAACTCCCCTAGGACAATAACCTTGACAACTGACCTTGGTAAACTTGTGGGTTGAGATAAATGTGGAATATTAGTTGCATTAAAGGGCAATGTTCTTGCCTACCATGTGATCCAACAATCCCACCTCTGAGCATATATCCAGAGAAAGCCATAATTCCAAAATATGCATGCACTCCCATGTTCCTAGCAGCACTACTTACAATAGCCAGGACATGGAAGCAACCTAACTGTTCATCAAGAAATGAATAAAGAATATGTGTGTGTGTATACACACATGCATGCATGCACGCATGTGCGCACACACACACACACACAGGAATACTACTCAGCCATAAAAAAGAATGAAATAATGCCATTTGCAGCAACTTGGATGGATCTAGAGATTATCATACTAAGTGAAGTAAGTCAGACCAAGAAAGACAAATATATGATATCACTTATAGGTGGAATCTAATTTTAAAAAACAATACAAATGAACTTATTTATAAAATAGAAACAGACTCACAGATAACAAACTTACAGTTACCAAATAGGAAATGTGAAGGAAGGATAAAATAGGAATTTGGGAGAAATAAGATACACACGAATATATATAGAAAAGTTAAAGTGAAGTCTCTCAGCTGTGTCTGACTCTTTGCGACTCCATGGACTGTAGCCTACCACGCTCCTCTGTCCATGGGATTTTCCAGGCAAGAGTACTGGAGTGGGCTGCCATTTCCTTCTCCAGAGGATCTTCCCAACCCAGGGATCAAACCTGGGTCTCCCACATTGTAGGCAGACACTTTACCATCTGAGCCACCAGGGAAGTCAAGCCATATATAGAACAGATAATCAACAAAGACCTACTGCATAACACAGGGAACTCTACTCAATATTCTGTAACAACTTACACAAGAAAGAATCTGAAAAGAATGAATATATGTATATACACAACTAAATTACTATACTGTAAGCCTGAAAGTAACACAACATTGTGAGTCAACCACATGCCAAAACAAACAAAATAAATGTGTTCAGCTGAAGGAAAAAAGGCAGCACTCTTGTTGTAAAAATTATCCCTGGTTACTAAAGCTTTTAGCTTTTGAGAATTTAGTGTCATACAAACCTTTTTGAGGAAGGCATGCCTCAGTTCTTTGGTATGGAGTGTTAGACAAACACTGTACTTAAGAGCCATGAAAAAAAGCATCTCTGTGCATCTGGTGTTCTCACGCCTCCACGTGCAGCCAGGATCAGGCACATGATAAAAACAGTGCCATGCATGCACATGCAAAATGACGCTGAGGAAACTGTCTACTTAGACGAGAGGAAAGCACAAGCCTTATATCACTCCACATAGCAACGCTAAAAATAAGGTTATATATTTTTAAAGGAAATATGATTGGAGCTTAATAAAAAACATAGGAATATATCACAGGTATGATTTTGAGGGCAAAAATATTATACCTGAAAGCACTAATTGAATACAAAAGAGCCAAGGTTTCTGTTTTTATTTTTAAGTTGACTCCGTGGGATTCCCTGGTGGCACAGTGGATAAGAACCTGCCTGCCAGTGCAGGGGACATGGGTTCAGTCCCTGACCCAAGAAGATCCCACACGCTCGTGCACCGCAACCATTACCCCTGTGCCCCAGAGCCCAGGAGCCACAAGTTCTGAAGCCCACACGCCCTAGAGCCTGCGCTCCCCGGACAGAGAAGCCACTGCAGTGAGAAGCCCGAGCACCACAACTGGAGGAGAGCCCCCGCTCAGGCCACTTGAGAAAGCCCGCCCAGCGACGAAGACCCAGCACCGCCAGAAATAAAGTCACAAAAAATTACAAGCATTCAATATACTCAAACACCAACTCAGCACTTGCTCTTTTAAGAACCTATGAAGAAGAACCACTAGGTGTCAAGCTTGTGGTATTCTTTAAACTGTCCTATATAATGGTGTATAGTCAGAAACTGACGACTGACAAAGCATGATTAAGTATTTCGATCATATCCGCGTTGTATATTATAAACCCAACTAACGTCATGCTTTCAAAGAACACTTAAAGAGACAGAGCTCACACTACTATATTCAGGGAAATATAAGTTGCGTAAAAGTACTTATAAGGTCTCTCCAGTGTTTTAACAAACACACCAGTAGAAGGAAGTACATCTCTTCAACACTGGCTGTATTTGTGTAGCACAGTTGTTTTCTTCTTTTTAAACCTTGATTCTCAGTGTTTTTTCAATAAACGTAAGATTATGCAGTGATAAAAGTTAAGCCTTACAGAAAGCGGAACACCCTTTACACTGTTGGTGGGAATGTAAGGGGAATGCCACTGTGGAAAACAGAATGTAAGTGTCTCACAAATCTAATAATAGAACTACCATGTGACCCAGCAATTTCACTCCTGCATACAGATCTGAAAAACTAAAACAAAAACAGAAACACTAATTCAGAAGGACACACGCACCCAGATGTTCAGAGCAGCACTATTTACAATAGCCTTCCAAAGGATACATGCTCACCAATGTTCACTGCAGCACTATTTACCATAGCCAGGACACAGAAACAACCTCAGTGTCCATCAACAGAGGAATGGATAAAGATATGGTACACATAGGCAGTGGAATACTACGCAACCATAAAAAGAATGACATTTTGCCATTTGCTGCAATACAGGTAGACTCAGAGGGCATTATGCTAAGTGAGTAAGTCAGACAGAGGAAGACAAATACATACATCACTTACATGTGGAACCAAAAAAGACAACAAACTCTAATGAATATAACAAAAAAGCAGCAGACTCACAGATACAGAGAACAAACTAGCAGTTGCCAGTGGAGAAAGTTGGGAGGGGCACAACAGGGGTGGGGGGAGTGGGACGCACACACTACTGGATGTAGACTAGGCCAGGAGCCCCCCACCTCTGGGATCTAATGCCTGACGATCTGAGGTGGAGCTGACATAGCAATAGTAATAAAAATAAAGTGCACAGTCAATGTGCTTGAATCATCCCGAAACCATCCTCCACTCCCATCCGTGGAACAAAATCAGTCCCTGGTGCCAAAGAGGTTGGGAACCCCTAGAATGGGCTCTAAGGGGACTTCCCTGGGGTCCAGTAGCTAAGACTCTGAGCTCCCAATGCTGGAGGGCCAGTTTCAACCCCTGGTCAGGGAACTAGATCCCACACACCACACACACACACACCCACACACACACCCCCAAAAAAATTCCAAGTGTCACATGTAAAAGAGGCTTCATAGCCAAATAAACAAATAAATATGTTTTAAAAATAAGTTATAAGAATGTATTGGGCTTCCTGGTGGCTCAGTTGTAAAGAATCTGCTTGCCAATCCAGGAGACATGGGTTGGATCCCTGGGTCAGGAAGATCCCCTGAAGGAGGAAATGGCAACTCCAATATTCTTGCCTGGAGAATCCCATGGACAGACGTAGCCTGTCAGGCTACAGTCCATGGGGTCGCAAAGAGCTGGACAAGACTTACTGACTAAACAACAAAAAACAATGTATTGTACAACACTGGGAACATAGCCATATTTGGTATTAATAGTCACCATAAATGGAGTGTAACCTTTAAAAATCGCATAAAAAATAAAACTTTATAAAAAGTCGGGCTTCACCACAGCCACCCCTCCCACTAAGTCTGTTTCACGCCATCTTCCTCCGAGCCTCCTCCCGGGGCTCAGACTTGCTGTAAGAGATGCGATGGAGCCCAGCAGGCCCCGGAGACTTCACACGGAGAAGCGCTGCGGCATCCTGACTACACAGATCGCGTGGCTGAATAGCTGCCGGCCACCCACGGGGCACTCTGAGCGCCTCTGGTCAGACCTTCCGGAGTATTGGTGCCTTCCTGTTTCATTTGGGCGGCCCTGGATATCCATAGGAGCAGGGTTTTGGTTTCCTTCTTTTTTTCTTAAGTGTAAGCAAAATATGCTGTTTGAAATTGGCTCCTGAAGGGTGGCCTCTATTTGAATTCTGTTTCTGTTACTTTCTGCATGTCATTTCTTCAGCGAAGGGATCATTTTGTAGGGCTTCCCTAGAAGCTCAGCTAGTAAAGAATCTGCATGCAGTGCGGGAGATCTGGGTTTGATCCCTTGGTTGGGAAGATCCCCTGGAGAAGGGAAAGGCAACCCCCTCCAGTATGCTAGCCTGGAGAATTC